ACTTCTCCCTCCATCACAAGGTACAATTTTTCATCTCGTTGTCTATGATTTACGATGAGAACGACCTGAATTATCTTATGTGTTGCCTATATTCGTATCTTTTTATCCTCGGGATTAAAGCTAAATTCTTAACATAAACAGGTTAGAGGGGAAGATTGCAATTGTCACAGGTGGAGCAAGAGGGATTGGCGAGGCAACAGTTCGACTCTTTGCAAGGCATGGAGCCAAAGTGGTCATTGCGGACGTCGAGGATATAGCTGGAAATGCACTGGCAAACTCACTAGGCCCTTCAGTTTCATTCATAAATTGCGACGTGAGCCTTGAACAAGACGTCGAGAATTTAATCAATTCAACAGTTTCACGTTACGGAAGGCTCGATATCCTCTTCAACAATGCAGGTGTCCTAGGAAACCAATCGAAGCACAAAAGCATTGTCGATTTTGATGTTAACGAATTCGATCGTGTGATGAATGTGAACGTGCGAGGTGTGGCGCTAGGGATGAAGCACGCGGCCCGTGCAATGATTCCAAGAGGAACTGGATGCATTATATCAACGTCGAGTGTAGCCGGAGTGATGGGCGGGCTCGGTCCGCATGCTTATACAGCTTCAAAGCACGCCATTGTTGGGCTAACAAAAAATGCTGCTTGTGAATTGGGCAGAAATGGGATTAGGGTTAATTGCATTTCTCCATTCGGCGTCGCTACTTCGATGCTTATAAACGCCTGGAGAAGATTTGATGATGACGAAGAACAAGATGAGATTCACGAACAAGAAGTGGAAAAAACTGAGGAATTTGTGAGGAGTTTGGCCAATTTGAGAGGTCCAACATTGAAGGCTAAAGATATTGCGGAGGCTGCGCTTTATCTTGCAAGTGATGAATCAAGATATGTAAGTGGTCATAATCTGGTTGTGGATGGTGGTGTTACTACCTCAAGAAATTGTGTAAATTTGTAGCAGAAACTAATGTTCGACTTCACTGATTTTCTGTTGTTAATTTATTTATGTAGTAATGATTTGGTTTTTAACGTTATTGCATGTTCCTTTAAACCAACAGCCGAAGATCTCGTCAATTTTAATTAACGTACGTGTTTTACTGGTCGAAGTCTATGAGTAGATGAGAAATCCAACGTCGGCTTTGACATTTCTTATTCCTCCCATGTGTATGTAGCTGCCATAGTCAAATTAAATAATTGAAACTGTGTAATTTGAAATCAAACTTGGTTCGAGGCTTCGGGCCCATGATNGTATGTAGCTGCCATAGTCAAATTAAATAATTGAAACTGTGTAATTTGAAATCAAACTTGGTTCGAGGCTTCGGGCCCATGATGATGGTTAGCATTTTTCGAAATGAGTACCTGGTTTCGAATACCATACACCGAAGATTGTCGAAGATGGCTTGTTGGACGACCCTCGAGAGTCCCAACGGCCGATGTTCTACTTCTTGTTAATGTGATACGAAATTTGTGACTCCAAATGTGACGAAGATGCAAATTGGACAATATCATGGGACATTGTGAATTGTGAAATTGTAAACAACTCTACACGAGTTACATATGTAATAAATTCAATATAATGCCCTGAAACACAGTCATTAATAAGCACAAATTCAGAATTGTGATTATAATATAATGCCTTGAAACACAGTCATTAATAAGCTTAGTTCTCTACCATTGCGTTAAGGTCTATATTTTTAATTTCTTTCCATTTCATATGATTTTTAAAATTGACCCATGATGTGTGTAAAGCCACGATCTTCTAGATTAATGCAAAAGTACAAGCCACTAGCCACTTTTTATAATTCAACAACACGATTCACGTTTTGACGTGTTGACCCACATTTTAGCGACGAAAGAGATTTTATTCAAAATTTATGTACAGCTAGCTAGCTTCTCTAGAAAATTCCACATCTCAAAATAATATACATTATTAAATATTCTAACTACTTATTTATATAGCCCATGTAGTCCTTTTTTTAAAAATTCATTTTTAACCATTCATTCTTTCATATAATAATTTTACAATAAATCCAATTTTTTTTCCCCATATTTTGTAACTACACATTCTCCAAAAATACTAATACAAAACATATTTTTCCAAAAAAAAAAATATATATATAGGGATCAAACAGGGACGTACCATTAACCTTTTAAAATAAAACTTTAGGATTCAATATAGCTCAATGAGCTATTTTATCGATCCACAACTTAAATGAAAAAATTAGTGTCTCAAATGAGCCATCATCTAATTGGACATGTCCAAGAAAAATTTCACACCAATTAAATATGACAAGTTTGATCCTTTAAACTAAAATCTAATAATTGAATATAGCTAACTAAAGTCTGTTTGAGAATTATTTATAAGTTCAAATTATAAAAGGTAAAAATATGTGAACAAAAAATGATTTGAGTCTTTTTAAACATGAGCCAAGCATAATTGGATTGGATGCCCAAATCACTTTACAAGGCTAAGATCGTGTTTTGCATGGCATAAAATTTCAATAATAATCTAAGTCAAAGTCAATAATTAATTTTAATCGCACGTTTTATGATACCCATAATTTTTCAACAGTAATTTCATTATTTTTATCAAAATCTACTAAAATTTAATTTTTAACTATATCAAACATGATTTATTAATTTAATTTACATAGGAGCTTAGAGAAGAGAAAATTGGTCGTGTGAGCTAGATAGTATAGAATTATTGAAAGTTGATTCTCGTGCAATTATGACACGAATGACTTTCTAGTTCTAAAGAAAAGTAGAAATTCGATTTGAAGTAATGTAATTATAAGTTGGGAATTATGTAGGACCACTCAGATTAGGAAAGTTCCACAGTCCCCTCCATCAAAAAAGCAACTTTTTCAGTAGAATGAGAATCTCTATATAAATATTTAAATTTTTGTTTAATGTTTAAACATTCATTATAATCTCATTCAAAATCAGAAGTGCGCAAGCACTAACGACTGACTTTTGATGAAAAATGGGCCTTTTGACATAACAAAAGGCACTGAAACAAATTTTCACGCTATTTAAGCATTGCTCGATGTTCTCTCGCTCTTTAAGTTATAAATATTGACCCAATTATTCCTTAAAATTTAAAATAGGAATTTTACATCACGATGATGACTAGATTAAAAGATTTTTAAGAAAATCTTTGAAAAATTATCACGTCAACGCAATGAGCTAAAGACTTAGTCAACTTTGAATATAGCATGACGGTTCATCCACCATTGAGTTGATGATCGCCGCTAAGGCAATTTAGTGTATTTTAGCTTTTGAAAAATAAATTGAGCAAAGTTCTTGACTTTTACAAGTATGAGTTGAACCTCTTGGAGACGCGCTGTGCACAAGTCATGCCTTAGATGCAATATCACACAGTCACAATGTTAAATCAAGGAAATTTCAGAGAAAAGCAAGGGAGAAGTTCTACACAACTATAACATAATTTCTGCAAGTTGTACTGCTGAGTATCAATCTAGATGGACTCTTTTGTTGTCATTTTTTACAAAACTCATGAGAATGCTAGCCTCTAAGCTGGCTTGACTCATGTTAGATCATATCATTACATCACCTGAGAGAGGAGTTATTTTTGAAGATGGAACCTCTTGAATAATCGATCTCCAATGGTGGATTTTCCGGGCTCAGTTTAACCAATCTCTATTTTATTAAACACACCCAACAAAGGCTCCAACCCAAACAACGATACTTACTTCGGTTGCTCAACTCAATGTGTTCACAAAGAACACAATATGGTGGCTGCAATGAATCACAAAGAATAGAGGAAGACAGATTCAGTTTTTCGCTCAAGGGAGAGAACTATAAAAAATGTAGGCTGCCTCTTTTCAATTGCACACACACGGCTCCTTCACAAATGAGAGCAATATATATGTTTAGGGTATAATAATATAATGGGCTCATGGACCAACTAATGGTTAAAAGGGGGGAACACAGATTGAGCCATCCAAGAAGTAAATGAGCCGTGAGCAACATTAATTATATTAAGTTGCTTCAAACGACCCTCAAGTTATTTTTCGGGTTGAGCCAATTAATCGAGTATGTTAATAAATATTTCAATCATCGGTCGAAGCCTATGAAATCTAATCCGACTATCCGACACTTTTTAACATCATCGCCGGGATTATTGGGTATCAAAAAACCCAACAATCTCCACCTTGATGCCCAATAATCTGCAAGTAACCAAAGCACAAAGTTTAAACTTGCACAATCAAAGTAATCCAATAAAATTGGTATCTCAGACCTTACCTCATGTTTCGAACCGAAACACACACCATACCTACTCTATGTACTCACCGGGGCTAAGGTCCAAAAAACACCCAGGTAGAAACA